AGATCCGAAATTAGGGACCCCTAGGACAACCAGCAATGGCACAGTGCTCTGCCTGAGTCGCTGAGGCCGAGGTCCTTCCACACTAAGTCTCCGATTCCACTCCGGAGTCGTCTGAATCTGCCTGGTTCTAACAGGAAGGCCTCATTTTTTGTTTGCTCATATATTCACTCATTTCCCATCTGTTTGCTTTAATATTCCATATACATGTAAACATTTAGTTTGGCTATGATCCATAATGATAGATTTCCGTTTGGTGCTTATTTCAGGTTGCAATCTCAAAATTACAAAAACAACACCATTCATGGGTGAATTACTGTACAGGATTCAAAAAATCGACTCCCCTTGTGCTGATTTTACTTTTGGTTTTTCTTGAGTTGGCCAAATTCAATTGTTCAAGCAAGCTATTAGAGCGGAAGATGACCGAATTTATTGTGTGTGAAATTATATTGGGGCATGTGATCAAATGTCAGAATTCCCACAAAATCAGCATCAGAATTCTCACGAATTGTGACCATGCAAGTGACCTTGGAAGCAAGGTAACATAGTTGACGTGCGCTGACACTCTGGATCTGTCAAGTGTCCCAGTGTTCGATGAGCATTTAAAAGCTCTGAAGCACCGAGTGAAATGCTTAATTTTGGCCGAGACGAAAAATCCCGTGTGTTATCTCCTATTTCAAATGGGCCAGTAGATCAACAAGCAATCACGGTTTTTCCATCAGGTTACATAACTAGTACTTATATCAAAGTTATGTCCTTCACCTTCATTCCTCCCCTCTTGAAGTTCAACTGATGATGCAAACACCCGATGTTCTCACTCTGTTCGGCTGGCTTCTCATACTGACGATCTCAGTGTTGGCTGCACCACTCAAGATCAGTCTGAATTATGGAATGAGTTACCTATGGAATGAGTTACCGATAAAAAATACTGATGGATCTTTTTGGGTCAACTCATACTTCACACATTTCCACTTTGTGCATTTGCATGCTTCACTGTTGTATACTTTGCATACTTTGCATACTTTGCATACTTTACATACTTTACATACTTTACATACTTTACATACTTTACATACTTTACATACTTTACATACTTTACATACTTTACATACTTTACATACTTTACATACTTTACATACTTTACATACTTTACATACTTTACATACTTTACATACTTTACATACTTTGTGTACTTTATGGTTGCAAATTGTCCTAGAATGCCATACTTGTCCATCCCATGGTCTGTGCACATGCTGACCACTGTCTAGAGGGATGTCAAGACTGTTTCCCACGGTCTGAACACACTTTACGTAGTTGAATAGCCCCTTTAAATAGCTTCCAGAATATATATTTTGAGACTGAATTGACCAATAAATTATCGAGAAAAATGCAAAATACTTTTTTGGACGCGAGTCTTTGGGTTAGTGTGGCTGTCCACCTCAATGTCTGTGCACAATGCTGGCCACTGTCTGAAGGGGTGTCAGCACTGTTTCTCACGGTCTCAACACACTTTGCATAGTTGGATAGCCCCTTCAAATAGCTTCCAGAATATATAATTTGAGACTAAATTGGCAAGCAAGTTATTGAGAAAAATGCAAAATACTTTTTTGGATGCAAGTCTTTGGTGTCATATCTGTGCATACCCGATCCCAACCTGACTTCCGGACCTCCTCCTTCCCCACCTCCGGAATCCTACCCTACCGCTGTCCGTTGTAACGGGTCTATCGCCTAGACTCGAGACAGAGAGAAAGGGGAGGGTGGTAGTGTGCGCGGGTGTGGTTCGTTGGGCCGGGTTTTGGTCCGTGGGTGCTACTGAGTCTGCAAAAACCTCAAACAAACACTCACCTACGTCTCTCTTGGACGTCAAGGCTGAGTATTATGATGTGAGGGGTCTTAGACGTGAGCAACTAGCTCAGAGGGGGCGTTAGGGTCGTGGATGGCATCTTTGCCACTTGGATGCAACTTCTGCTTGTCCCTTCACGGGTCTATTCAATACTCACTTGTTATGTACAAGCTGTTATCTAGTTTATATATGTTGGAAATGGAATGAATGGACTGGGGGAATGTAAACAGGCCGTTAGGCAACCGTAAATGATGAATATCCAATTGGGAACAAAGAAACAATAAAAGAAATATGAGTGAATGGGGAAAATGTGACAACGGGTCCGAAATGGGAATTGTGAAGATTAACTCCGCAACAGTTCGCCACAGCACCCTCCTATCCTCCCGTCAGCAACCTCCTCGTCTCCAGCTTTCCAACGAGCCCTTATTCGTCCCAATTGGTGCAGTGGTTCTTGAGATGTGGAGAGGGGGTGAAATTGGCGGCGTGGTTGGGCGTGGGAATTTTGCTTGGGGTTGTTGGGAATGATGGGGAAAATAAGGAAAAATAAGGAATGAGTGTATGGAGTGTTGGATAGTGATAGAATGAACATTGGGAGCGTCAGAGGGTATGTGGTATATGTTGGTGGCCAAATTCCGCAGAATCCGACTTTTTGCGGTACACGGAGTTGTCCCCACAACACCGTTCCAATATTCACCTTCGGTCCTGGCACCATACCACCCTTCACCTCCCATGCCACCTCCACTCCTCTGTCACTCTCCTGTCCTATCTCCGTCCGCTCCGATAACCACCTCGGACCGAACACCACCCCTCTCGCCACCCTCCTCCTACTCCTCCTCCTACTCCTCCGCTCACTCCTCCGCTCACTCCTCCGCTCCCTCCTCACAACACCTCCACCCTTCCGTCGTCCTCCTACTCTTCTCCCATCCGCTCCGATACCCACCTTCAGATCTGACACCTCTCCTCTCTTCCTTTCCCCTCTCTTCCCTCTGGTCCTCTTCCGCCGACCTCCCACCAAGTTACGACCTTCCGCCGCTGACCCATACTTCATACTTGGGCACCGCTCGTACCTTTGCTCCAAGCCTCTGTCATAGTTCCTACCTCGGACTTTGACTCCACCTCGGTCTTAGTCCATTGCATTGGTGACCTCATACTACGTAAACACCATTGCCAATATTCCTCGGACTTTCAACCCCGCCTCCATAAGCTCCGCAACCTCCAAGCTTCGCGGATCATCTTTGGCACTTTTGCCACTTGTAATGTATTTCTCGCGTTTCCCCCTCATCCCTATTTGGACTGCTGCTTCTTCCCATTCTAGCCAGTTAGTCACCATCCCCACTTCCCCTCATCCTCCTGCCCCTCTGGGCCTCGCCCTCCTTACCTCCTTTCGGACGTATCACAGGTTCTGCCTTATGACCTTCAGTACCGCTCTGCTTCTGTCATCCCTTTGTTCCTGTTCGGACACCTTCGTTCCGATTCGGTTCCCCTTCGTTTCCTTGTGCTTTCGCCCCCTCCATTATATATATCGGCGCTTGTACATACTCGTAGCGGGCTCAGTCCGAAATCGACCTGAAATGCCCCCTAGAGACTTCCTGCTCGCCTACTGTGAAATTAAGGACCAAATGGACAAACAGCAATGGCACAGTGTTCCGCTTGAGTCGCTGAGGCCAAGGTCCCTCCACGCTAAGTCTCCAATTCCACTCCGGAGTCGTCTGAATCTGCCTGTCTCTAACATTTGGGATAGTGCTGGGCCACTAAATTTCAGTGACAATCAAAATTCCCAGGTCACTGATATCCCAAATGTTAGAATGGTGCAGGTTCGGACAATTCTGGAGCAGTGTCACAACCCGGCAATTCCCACAGTCAGGTGCTCACTCCCCACCCCTTCTCCCACCTCCGCTCCCTGCCCGACGCCATCTGGACAAGCCTGTCACCCTTCCCCATCTTTGGTACCTTTTTCATGGCCCACAACAGGCCTACATTCATTCCCTATTTACTCTTGTTTTCTTGATGGCCAGGCATGGCCATCCTTCTCCCACATTCTTTGTTTGTTTTTATCCTTTCTTAAAGCCACCTGCAATCTCCATGAGATCTGGCAACTAATTCCCACTCATTCTGTTACACTTAAATACCAGTTGTACACTACCTCTGTAAGGTCAGTAGAGGTTCCGACCTTAGTTGTGACTCCTGCTATCCTCAAGCTGTCAGGAATTAGGCAGTATAGAGCTGTAATTTCGACAGGGGAGGAGAAGAGTGAAAACCCGTTTCACCCTCCTTGCAATTTATATACATTGTTTACATCAAGAAATAAAGAGTAATAAACAATGAATAAAGAAAGCGTGCACAGCATGCATCACCACACATCCATTCCCTACAACCTCGTACCTTAGTTTGAAAATCAACTAGGGTTGTCTTGTAACATAGGGATTCCATATAAGGTAATCTGCTACCTCAGCAGTAACACTTGCGAGACCAGATGTAAGCTAGGTAAAATCTGATGATTTTTGTCAACACCTGTCTGTGTGTATTTATATACAATGTAAATCTATTGCGGAGCAGCCTGTTAAGGTAACTCCTGTGTGACTACGGAGTTAGTAATTCCCTCCACATAGTCCTCCACATAAACACCGGCTGTGTCTGGTCCCCATGACTCGTGATTACAACAGGTTGCCCCCTGTGTGTCTTGTCTGACTCAGTCGCATTCTCTGTACCCTGAAATATCGGGGCTGCATCAAGTATGAGGTGCAATGCTCATGGACGAGTTGTTGAAGCTGAAACCCTGCTTCACTGCAATTGTCAACCCCACCCTTAACAGGCTGTTATGCTGAGACAGCAGACCTTAACGGTCACTGACAGTGAACCATGGTAACATTTCCCACGCCCCTGGCACTTTACAACTACTCCGAGGTATATATATGTAAATTACATATCTTGGCACAAATAAATAAAGAAATATCAGCATCACTATAATTGGAATTATAGTGAAGTAAGGTTAATCCCTTACAAAAGTGCACATTGTCCATTCCCTATCCATCCCTTACAGCAGGGGAGAGTCAGGGGGAATGGAAGGTGAGGTTGTATTCAAAGGTGGGGATTGCAAACCCAACTTCAAGACCTTGTTGTCCCTGCTGCACAGACCTTAGCACAGCAGGCATTTAACTACATGGACATCCTGATCAACCAAACCACATCTCGGGCTAGGCTCTCGCCTCGCTACCATATATGGTATGGAAATTATACGAGGTCAAGAGGACTTCGAGTGAGAAGAATCTTCCAGGTGAGTTTCAGCATCCATTGTTCTGTATCATCATCCATCTCCTCGTTTAACGCAGCACTAACATAAAATACATCGCCAATCCATAGTCCATGCTGCGCAAGATGGTCAATTGTCAACCAACACCTATGATTGCTCGTGCACAACATCGGGGTCGTATGGCTATGTGAATAACAACGAGTTTGGCACCGTTTACCTTTGCCCAGGGTTCTGGACTGCTCTGCCTGTAGGATCGAACTCCCGCCCTGGGTTGTTGATCAACCTTATCAGTCCATTTCGTCAGAATGGTGGAACAATGCAGCTCGCGACAGGCACAGCAGCATGCCAGGCCCTCGCGAAAACAAGTCCAAGGAATGCCACGAGGAACGCCGAGTAAGTGCTATTGTCCTTTCTTTACTTTCTTTTTGGCTTCAGATGACTAATGGCTGTGTGAATGGCGCAGCTCTTATGAGTATTTCGCAGAGAATTTCCCTCCTCTGCCCTGAGGGGTGTGGCCGTTTGTTGCATTTGGTTCTGGCTTTGTTCTGTCCTCGTCATGATTCGACGGTACTGTTCATCGCCTGCGTTGAAGTCCTGATTCTTTCCATACACTTCAAATAGTTTCTCTCGTTCATTCTGTTTCGGCTTTATTTAGTTCCTTGACGTATTTCTCCGGAACAAGCCGGGAGTGCGAAGCACTCCATGGATCTTCATTCCATTTTGGCCACGGAGTCGTTTCACCAATTGTTTAAATGTGGCTTGCATCATTTCTGGGATCGAAATCAAGTATTACTTATATGAATTTCGCGGACAACTCATTTCCACGGTCCAATGACAAAAGGAGTTTCAGAATGCAACCTGCTATGACGCACACAGACAAGACGATAGATACAAAGCAACTCACGAGCGTTTAACCGCGTGAAGCGTTGGGTGTCAGAAGCAAGCGAAACCCTTCCTGGGTCTGCCGGCAGTCTTGACTGAGGCAAACGCCTCTCACCTTTTGCGCCCGGCGTCGGCATGTTTAATTTACATCCTGCTGTTCCTTTTCAGATGATACAGAGATTCTGTCTATTTTACCCCTTGGGCATCCATTCCTCTTGGGGTAATCACTCGAGATCAGTCTTGATGTTCCCGAGGGTGTGGATGACGATGACGGTATGGCCTCGTCAAGTTTTCCGTCAAAGTCAACAGTCTCCAATATGGAAGCGTTCCTGATTTTAGCGGTGTTGAAGTACGTCCCCACTTGCCGTTCTCAGCAATGAATACACGACGTTCCTTCCTGGTGCGTGGCAGCATGTGCGTTACGTCTGTATGCGCATTCTACGTCGCCTGGGAGTGCCAGCACCCCAAGGTCCATCGAGTGCGATGCCTCCACCCTGATGACCTTCGAGCATTGATGGAAGGACTGAAGAGGCAGTTGACCGAAGGACCAGAGACAGAAGAGAGAGAGCCGGGGCCTTATATAACTGTTTTCGTTCCTTGTATGTTGATGCAGGCCAGTCCCGCACCTATGAAGGTCACAATTGGCCTCCAGCATATGGCTATACGGAATCCCGAGGGATTCCGCACCGTTTGCCTTTTCCCCGGGTTTTGGAATGCCTTGCTCGCAGTGGGGTCGTCTAGGCCCGGGTTGTTGATCAGCCTTGTCAATCGGTTTGATAAGAATGGTAGGATGACCGACATTAACCTAGTCGCGAAAAGGTACCCAGAGTAAGCTGGTGGGAACGCCGAGTTGTCCTTCGTGTCTGTTTGTTTGGGTTTCCGACAGCTGATGACTGCGCAAATGGTGAGTAGAATTTCCTACCTCAGCCCCGAGGCATGTTCCAACTTTGTGTCTGGTTGTGGCTTCGTTCTGTCTTTACCGCGATCGCACTGCTCAGCGTTTCCGTTAATTGAGGTGCTGGTTCATTGCTCTATGTGCCGCCTCATGACTTAATGCTCTACTTGCCGTTTCATTCTCATGCTTCTTAGAGTAGCCTCATTACACACTATTAAAATTGTTTCCTTGTCTGGCATCGATTTTAAGCTATGGCTTATAGGTTAAACCCCTGATAGAAGTATATGGGGTCATAATGGGAACAGGTGTGCATCGGGAGGTCGATTACCGTAATCCGCAAGGGGTTCACAAATAGCGCGGAATGATTACACGTGGAAGACGACAATCGGTGTGAGCACCGCTATGAACCAAAAAAAAAAAGTGTTTACCTTGAATACATGAATACAAGATTGAGAGAACTCCCTGAACATCATGTCCTTCCTAAGCATACGACCAAACAACTCTTTTCCCCCTTCCGCGCACCAACCCCCCCTGGACCGCTCCCACCCACCCTCACCCAGAACTCCAATGGAACTGTCTTCCGCCACCACCGAAAGGCCCGCCTTGCCCAAACGGTCCACCCTGCTGGAAGAACATATGTTGGAAGGGATTCCCACCTCCCCCGAAATGGAAGGGGTGTCCTCCAGAAGGTCCACGTCCAGACTCGGGATCGTTGGGGTCATCCCCGTTGTCGAATCGAGCCCGAAGTTCAGGCTTCGAGAGGACTTCGTACGCTTCGTTTACCGCTGCCATTTTGGCTTCAGACCCGCCTTTGTCTGGGTGAGCTTTCAAGGACGCCTTCCGACTTCAGAAACACGATGGTTCAGGGCCACAGATACATGGCGAACAGTTATGAAGAACAAACAAAAAGAAAACTTACAATGCTTTCTTGATCGTCTTGGTGTCAGCGTCGCGGGCCACTCCAAGAACTTTGTAGTAATCCTTTTTTCTTGCCTGTTTCAAAAGTCGCCTTGCTTTTTCGAGTTGTTGAGCAATCTGGGGGGCGGGAAAATATCAGAGGCAACATAATGATATGACAGATGTTGTTCTCACCTCATGACTCCGTCCACTCGCCTCGAATGCTTTCTCGAATAACCGAACGGCGTCCTCCCATTCTTCCTTCTTCAACTGGGCTTCGGCCTTTCCAACTAAGCCCTCTATGTTGTTCTCATCCATGTTTAAAGCTTCATCACACCAAGTCTCTGCCTTGTTAAATTGAGACGACTTGACATACGCCTTGCAAGCAAGCGTGTACAGTCGAAGTCGTCTTGGAGAGAATTTCCGCGGTTTCAGCGAAGAAGGGAGCTGTAAATGGAGGGTGGAAGCATCAAGTACTCCGTCAAATTTCTTTGCGAGCCCAGTTGGCTCGCTGGAGCTCCCCGTAATTATTCGAATGAGGCCAGACCAGTTCTCGACCTCCTCGAAAGTGCTTAGTTTTCCAAAATCCTTTTCGAACGCCTTTAGGGTTCGGTGAGATGTGCGGCAAGGCTTGGAATCAGGATCGAAATGCAGGCATTGTTTGAGAGTCTGGAGAGCTTGCGAGCTCTGGGGAAGGAGGAAGTACGACATGTTGGCAATTTTTTGGAAAAGCTCAGTGGATGGTTGTAAGAGGTGTGTGAGACGTCTGAAGAACAAGAACTTGTTCGTCAACAATGACTTGACACATGCCGTCAGTCGGGAATTTACTCACGTCATATCGCCGACAGCTTGCTCAACATCGCCTGCCCCCAAAGCGCAGTTGAGCCGCATTTCACGTAACCATACTGCATGTGAGGCGGTGGCTAAGGCATTGGTGGAATGTTCAACGCATTCATCATATTTCTTTGCTTTTTGAGCAGCTAGTGCTTTCTTCGTGATCACCTCTCCATCCGATATCGCGAAAAGCTTAAAGAGGCGATCAGTCGTCCGAACACTAGAACTGGTTTAATTACCCACGAGGTCCTGACCCTCTTTATCTCCTGTCCCGACTTTCTTCGTGTATTTCTTGACTAGAGCTTTTGCCTCGGCCCAATTGGCTTCCCGTGCAAGAATCTTCGCTTTCATGAGCAACGCTTTGTCAAAGTTCCCATTTGTGAGCCGTAGCACAGTCTCAAAGTCCTCAAGAGCATTAGAGTGTCGATTTATCGAAAAGTAGGCAGTGGCACGCTTATAGTATAAAAGGTAGTCATTCGGCGCGTGCTCTGTGAAATAGAAATGTACGTGTCAGCAGAGCATGTGCTAGGGCCGGTAGATACACCCACCCACCGAGGGCCTCGGTATAAGTCTTCGCGGCGTCGGCAAATTGACCCACGGAGAGATATGCATTTGCTCGTTGAACGAGCGGTTTGAGCGTTGGGGACTGTAGTCCACCATCTGTATCGGGTGATGCACGAGCCAGCGCTAAAAGGACACAGGAAAGGATGGCATAAGGCAACCGCATTGTTCTGTAAAGAACTGCCCTGTCGAAAGATGGAGCTTTCCGGGGGAAGGACAGGTGTTGAATTGGCTGAAGTTGATAAAGAGGCACTAGTGGAGGACAGAGATAGTGCGCCTGGCAATATGCCCGATGTACTCAGCTCAAGAGACGGACACGTTGAATTGATGTCTATTGATGTTGAACGCTTGTTCCCGCATGGCACGGCCACGTTGGACTTGCTCGATTTGGAAACAGGCAGTTTTGCTGCACAGCCAGCATCGATCAATTTACGCGACCACTCGTGAGCCGCATGATGGTACCCGCTAATATTAACATATTGATAGCTAAGCGTAGGGATATCATTAATACGACTAGAACACAAATTCTGTCCTGAGTGGATCCGACGAAGTGAACGTTGTGACCAGATGATCTGATCGGCCCTCCAGAGTTCACAGGGAGAGTACCAGCCTCTTAGAGACGACAGTAGTACTTTGCTGTGATCGCAAAGGAAATTATGCATGGCGAATCAACCTAGCATGAATATTAATACCATACTAAGTAATAACAATGTAACCCATGCCAAACAAGACACCAAAGATTTTTCGGAAATCAACCGAGCAAAGCACAAAATCAATCCACCACACACCTACACCCTCAAATACTATCTCTCTCATCAACCATCTTCAACCCCGTCCCCGTCATAGCAGTAATCTCGTTCAATTTATCCTCCTGCTTATCCAAATGCCTGAAACAAATCCAAAACGCAATCCCACTCACGAACCCAATGATGGCCGCACTCCCATAATTCCAAATCAAATGAGGATCCGCAGCCAATGGGTTCAACGCCTCCGTGATCGCGCTCGAAATCGCAGTCATGAACAGAAAAACGCTCATCACGACCGATCTCATGTTCTTCGGTGCTTTCGTAAAGGCGTATTCGAGACCGGTGATGGAAGCGAAGATCTCGCTGAAGGCGATGAGGATATACGAACCCGATTGAATCCAGACGTTCAAGTGGGAAGGAGTATCGCAGGAATTGGCTTGATAGCCACAAGGTGAAGTCTGATAAATGTAATATTGAACGACGGCCGCCCAGACCATTGCTGCTACGGCAGTCATAAATCCAAAGAAGATCCTCTTTATCGGTGTGAATCGAATTCCCATCCGTGCAAACCACGGATAAATGACATAGTCACAGATGGGGATAAAAATGATCAAAGCGAGTGGGTCCAAATTGTTGATGACATCGTTGGGGACTCCGTTCGTTGTCATCGTTGCCGCTTGGGATGTGAGCGTAGAGTTGAGAGGGTTATAGCATATCCAGTAACAAGGGAAGAACAAGAAAACTTGACACGCCTTCAGCCCTCTCCTGACTTCATCCACGAAAATATCATCATACGTCAGCCAAGAAGGTCGTCCCCCTTCAGGCTGAGACTTCAGAATCCTGCTAGGCTTAGCGTTCTCCCAGAAATCAGGATGAGTCCAATTTCTCCAAGTCTGAACTGGGCTCGACCAGACGACTGTACCCTTCATTGCGGTCCTCCAAACTCGTAAAGCCTCGACGACGATCGAGCCCTGAGGGGGGCTTTGTTTGTACCGATGTCTACCGAGGAACAGTACGATGGGGCAAATGAAGAAGAAGACAGTCGGGAGTGTGTAGGCTAACCAGAAACCGACGTATTTTTCAGAGTAGGTCATCCCTAGCTGACCAACGAGAGCTCCGACGTTGATGAGGAGGTAGAAGTAAAGGTAGATGCGTGCCGTCGTCACAGCGGGATCGACGATGACTCGGGTGCCATCAGAAAGTGTCTTAATACGCATGGAAGACACTTGATACTGCTCAGCGACAAGAGGTGAAATATTGGCCTTGAATCCACCGGCTAAGGGACAAAAGATAAAGGGCTCAGGGTAAATGCAATAAAAACAAATACTTACTTCCCAATCCCATAACAATCAACGCAAGCGTAAAACAGGCCAACGCCCCACTAGAATGCTCGATGACACCCGGAACACTGCTCACGATCAACAAAACGTGCCCAATCATCGCAATGAACACAGCCCAGGAAATAGTTTTATAACGCCCCAATTTCGTATCCGCGATGTAAGCGCCGAACAAAGGAATAACGTAGACCCAGAATTGGTTGAAGGTGGTGAGACCTGTGGCGGCTTGGATGCCCCGCCCAAGGGCTCCTGAAACGTGGTCATGGCCACCTGCACCGGTGCGCGAGCCGCGTGGGAGAGGCTGCTGACTGAGGGTCGAGTCCATGTCGAAGGCCAAGCAGTTCAGCTAAGTAGTCAATTGACGGTGTGAGGGTGGGAAAACATACATGAAGTTGGTAAAGACTGCCGTAGAGCCATAGTAGGAAAACCGTTCCGCCATCTCGACTATACCAATGCTGTACGCGGTCCAAGGTCTAGAACACAAATTCAGAGTATAATTAGCATCATTTGCAATTCATCGAAATCGATCGGGTCGTCGATTTCCATATGAGCTAGATTCGGGTTTGAGTTCGGGCCCGTCTAACGTCACGGCAGAAGAACGAGGACGGAGAGGAAAATGGCACACTCACACCTTATCAGCAATTCTCCCAAGCCTATTGGGACCCGATTTTTCATCTTCGGTGGGTAAGACCCACAATTCACCCTCCGGCGTGACTTCAGGATGATGTAGGACGTCGCCTCTTTGACTTGATCCTGCCTTCTCGATGCTTCCTGCATGAAAACTC